TCCTAATTCATACAGAAGAGATAAATAAAATTTCCCCAGATCTACTGAAATTGTGACGTCAGATACTATCCCTTACATTTAATTGACGTCACCATCTTCTTCTTTGGCGAAGAAGGACGAGTATTGCTAATGTTGTGGAATGCTTAGGGGAACTATAATGGAACTGGGAAGGCCATGTAGCGAGAATACATGCCTCACGATGGACGAGCAAAATTACAAATTGGAGGCCAAGAGTAGACAAACGTAGTGGAGGAAGACCACCTACACGTTGGATTGACGACATCAGGCGTATCACCAAAAATTGGCAACGAAGATCACAAAATCGTAAAGAATGGAGGAATTTAAGGGAGGCCTATGTCCAGCAGTGGACGTGATCATTGAAGGCTGGATGATGATGATAATGATCTTATAACCCTAGAACCACAACGTGAGGTAATTGAAACATCAATCATAACAGGGTCGGCGGCGACCTTCATTTAAAAATAAATGTTTATTTATCAAATTAAATTCTTAAATAGTTTATTATATAACATTTATACTGGAAATGACGAATTATCGCAGTGAAATCTAAAATTTAATAGCTATTCATCGATGGTTACATATTCATAACGAGTATAGTATCTTTCTCAGTTTCTTCCCTAAAGATTCCATATTTCTTTTATTGGCTTGAATTTGTAGAAATGTTCGAATTTTTGTCTTATGTGAGTTGTTTTGTCATCAAAACGCAAACAATATAAAAGAAATTCAAATATGTTTTTTGTGATTGTGTTGTGACATATTGCTACGTGCTGTGATATATTGCAAATTTTTCTTACCAGATATCTTTGAGGTAATAATGAGCCTTTTAAGTGTAAAACCGAAGCCCTTACAAACCCATAAGGTTTGCTTTATGCTTTGCTTGTAAACATCACTGTTCAGAAGTAAATTTTGAAGTTCTAGTTCTCTTTTTGTAATATTGATAATTATATCCATAATTTCGCAGGTAAATAATATTTGTCACTTATTTCGGGTTTATAGTATCTTTAGCTCTTTCTTTTAGACCAGGTGAACGTGTAACAACAGGTTTTGCCTAAACAAAAATCAAGGACAATCATTGTCTGTAGGATCAACATCCATAGCTTCTTCATTATCTGCCTCCTGTAATTGTTCAAATATATACAGAGTTTTAGGTACCCCACGTTGTAGTTTTATTGTTAAAAGAGTCTGGTTCCGACAGGACAAAATAATTACAGGCTTTTTAAAACCGCCAAAATTGGTATTAATCTAGTGTCAATATTTATATTTATTGGTATATTTTTATGTGCATGTGATTTAATAAAACAAATCTTGAATATGAAAATAAACTTGTAAATTATTTTAATTGCATTTTTATTTATTCTTCATGCTCATAATGCTATTACTGTAATCATGTATGCAATAAAACGTAAACAAATGTGAACCTAACTGTAAGTGGCCAATGAATAATCTGGCATCTGAAGCTACATCTATATTGTAGAAGCTAATCCTCTTGAAACTAATGCTATTGATGTATTATCAAATATGGTTGCATTCAATAATCTTTTTCAGTGCACGGATATTGTAATTTTTTTATTTATTATATTGCATGTTTACAATCTACTCTATACACAGAGTAATAAGTAAATAGTCTGTAAGTACATTAACGTGAGTTAGGTACCGTCCATGACGGTTTTCTAAGTATTATTACTGGAGGTCTTCTGGCCGTACCCTCTTCAATCTTCTTTCGGCAAGTGGTTAGGTGAATTAATTATTTATCAGTTCGTTGTTGTGATCAGTGGTGCGATTTTTATATTTTATTGAGTGATTCTTTATTATGTCCTTAATTAATGGGATGTCCAGATCATTGTGAAGTGTTTGGTTAGATACATACCACGGAACTTTACTTATAATACGGAGTATTTTGGATTGGAATGTTTAAAGTATCTTCGTATTTGAAGGTTTACTACAGCCCCATAGTTCTGTTTCATATGCCCAAACTGGTATAAGTATAGCTTTGTACAGAAGCAGTTTATTTTCAAGAGATAACTGAGACCTTTTTTTTAAATAGCCAGTTCATATTTTTTAGTTTAAGATATAGTTGTTTCCGTTTAGTTTTAATGTGCGTTTTCCATGTAAGTTTTTCATCCAGGTGCAATCTCAAGTATTTGACAACTGGTTTTATAGGAATGGGGGTAATATTAATATAAACTTGTGGACATGTAGATTGTCTTGTTATAAAAATAATTTGAACTGATTTGCTAGCTTTAACACTGATCTTCCAGCGCTTAAGCCAGTTTTGTAATTGATCTAAATGATTTTGTACTTTTTGTGATGTTACATTAGGATCGATATCCACTGCCAAGATTCCCGTGTCATCACAGCAAATGTAGCTAAGAAGGTATAATTGCTGGTTGGAACGTCTGTTGTAAATATCAGATACAGAAATGGGCCCAAAACGCTACCCTGAGGTACGCCAGATTGTATGATGTGGTAATTTGAATAGCTGTCTTTAATTTTGACTTGGAAGTAACTGTCAGTAAGATATGATTTTAGTATAAAGTATAGTTGGTCTGTTAGGTGTAATTTCATTTTGTAGAGGAGACCTTTATGCCATACTCTATCAAATGCTTGTTGTATTTCTAGAAACACTCCAGCTCAAAACTTTCTTTTCGAGAGTTGTTTTAATTATATTTACTATTCTATGGCATTGTTGGGTAGTTGAGTGTTCACGTCTAAATCCAGATTGGTGTTGTATAATTTCGTTTATGGGAATAACTTGCTCGATTTTATGTAATAGTAGCCTTTTTAATACTTTCGACATTTTTGGGAGTAGGCTAATAGGGCGATATGAATTTGCTTGCGTTGCGGGCTTACCAAATTTCGGAATCATAGTAACTTGAGCAAATTTCCATTGTATTGGAAAGTATCGAAGACGTAGTGTGCTGTTGTATATTATTGTTAATAACACCACTGATTTTCTCTATTATTGTAAATGAGAGAGGTGTTCTATTTAATTTAGTATTTTCTCATAGTCTCAAAATCAATAGATGATTTTATTACCCGTGATATTCATCATCCTCCGCTTGTAACTTCCTTAAAATTTAAAGTTACCAACAGTAAAGTACTGAACAATATTATTACGATTTTTAAAATGAAAACTTTGAAGTTATTAATGATTGTTTTAGGTGCAGTTTTGTGGGATGAGTTCCTGTTGGGGAAGTCTCTAGATGAAATGATCTAGAACACTGAATTTTGTCTGTTACGACAAATTTTCGTTTCTTAGATCTCCGTGTAAAGTGCTTTTTAAACAATGCTACAATCAGTATGTGAGTGATTCTGACATTAGGTTGTTTTGGAAATTTGCAAATGCCAATAAGGACCAGAATTCCCTACCATCTGAAATGTTCCTTGGTGATAGCAGGCCAATTCCTTATTTGAAACTTCTAATCTGTATGACATTATATTCCAAACATGAATTGGAACATAATGGGACTATCAGAAGTTAAAAGAAGAGGTGAAAGGTATGTGGACTTAACATTTAGACAACAGGCTCTACTACAAAGGCAAAGAAGATTACGATGGAGTAGGTTTCTTAATCAACAAGAAGAGAAAGTCACAAATTCGAATAATTCGTAGCATCTCGAACAGGGTATTATACATACATAATTTTAAAACTAAATTGACAAACAGAATAAAGCTTGTGCAGGTTTATGGTCCAACTAGAAAAGGTAACTGATATGAAATAAATACTTTTTACAAAGACCTTTTTACAAAAAACTATAGACAACAACAAACTTTATATCGTGCCTATGCTCTGTCGGGGAAGAGTATGTAGTAGAAAGAAATATAGTGACCGGTCTGCTTTCGGAAACCTAATCGCCATTCGAGGTTGGAAGAAACAAGAGTTAGCCAAGAGAGGCTGATCGAAAAGATTGAAGAAATTTCACTCAAGACAAATTGAAGAACAGTAAAATGTGAAGGCCCTTATGATTCGCCAGGTGCGTTTCATAAAAGTATGAGTATTGATACACTTTGTGTTCCCGCTCATACTTCGGGGTGTTGACTACAGACTATATGGCTCGTCTAGCATGTAGGATAGGGTGCAGGGCATTTTACAATGTAGGCGTCCTAAACTTCGTGGCCTGACACCAACTAAAGAATATATAATGATAAAATCATGTTCAAAAAGTGATCATTATGTCAGTGTTCAATTATTAAAAAAATCTATTGATATATATCCATTATTCTCAATCTACTGAAGAAATAAAATATAACCTGGCAACTTTTCTGGTGCCGGTTTAGGCTTCGGTCAATTCCATAGGATTACGCATCCCCTTTCTTTCCTTATCTAAGATGTAAATAATATAGATAAATAATAAAAAAAAATACCAAAGAAAATCTTATAGGTATCGAAAAAAATAAAGTGCCACAATTAGCAAATATATTTTTTTAATCGATTATTATTATGATATCTGTACAGAAAGGAACAACGAAGTGGTGTTGTTATGTAATATGTAAGAGTGATAGACGCTCTAAATCATTTAAAGACATACAATATTATTTTATAAATTTCCTAAAGCCTTTCTTTATAAGCAATGTTATTTCTTTATTAAATAAAAAATATTTATTTAATAAATATTTCTCTATAAATTTATAAACGAAAATTTAGAAACTAGTACTACTAGCCTAGGGACAAATTTCATATCTAATGATATCTAATTAGAAAAAATAAATAGTGTTACATTTTTCCTCAATTTCGGTAGACTACCAGTAATACAATTTGATGTCAAGTGTGCTGCCGTTACTAAAATCTTCATACAAGATGATTTATTATTTATATGACGTTGACATTTAGGACGTCACAAAGAATTCTTCACAAGACGTATAATTTATTATATAGGATCTATTTCGTCAATCGTCACCACAAGTTATCAGTGGACTTTGTTCGAATTACGTCTTAATTATCAGAGTATTCAGTCATCTTTCTGGCTTTCTTTTATTTAGTCGGTCTAGTCATTTTGAACAAACGGTAGGGGTCTGACTGTGGCCTAGACCACTCTTAAAACATCACTATTTGGTCCGGTTTACATTCAGCTGTCTGATGCTTGTCTAATCCTCAAATTTGGATATATTTCTAGAAAACATAACCCATAACCATGAAAATTTGGACAAGTGAACACACATTTAAGTAAGTTTAATTTTTATTAACTTATGTAATATTTTAATACTTTCCGTTCTAGCCATCCATGGGAAAAAGTTGCCACTGCAGCTTGGAGGAAATACCCAAATCCACACAATACAGCAGTTATTGGTACTGATGTTGTAGAAAGAAAAGTAGTGGATGGAGTATTACACACACATAGACTGGTTAGCTCGATTTGGTATTTTCCTAGATGGGCACAAGCAGTAAGTACCTCTGTATTTTTTTAACACTTAAAATAACTGACTCAAACTAATCTGTGTAGAACAGTATACTTGACACTACGTTTATAAAATACCTAAGCTGGTGAAGTGATTTCTTTTAATTGCAAATAACTTCCTTATGTTTTGACTTTTGTGTACAAATTAAGCAATCAGAAATAGGTTATTTATTATTTTAATCTATTCATTTTTTGTTACACTGGAGCAAAAGGATGTTGATGTTAAGTTATGTATGTAATATTTAAAGAATATTTAAAAAATATTTTTCATGTAAAAGACATAGTTTTGGGGTTAATCATTAGCCAATAAAGAGAAAAGTTTGGTAATCTAGAGAAAGCATATGTTAAAGAATACCTTGAAAGATTCTGAGCTGACTTTAAATAAGAAAGGAGTTCATGGTTAGTTTGAAAACACTGTTAGAAATATGTGTTAAAGTTACAACTAGTTCTGTACCTACATAATATAGTGGTAAATTTCATTTGAGCATAGAATTCCATCAGGCACAGGGAAAAGGTAATAATTAGTGTTAGTAGGAAATACTGAAAGGCAATTATAAGAAAATTAGTTTTTCGTGTTTCAGCAAAACCTATATGCATATGTGACCAAACATTTTGAGGAATGCTCCAGTCTTGCAAAGGAACCTTAGGTGGATCTGCCTGCATGTTCTGACAAGGAATGCAATTCTTGTCGAGAACTTCAATTTCTGTATTTAATGATGGCCACCAAATATAAGACCTAGTTAATAATTTCACCTTAACTATACCAAAGTGAGCTGTATGCAATTCATTCAGTAATTTATTTTGTAGTTTACTAGGAACAATTACTCTTTGTCCCCACAATAAGACCCCATCTTCAATAGATATTTCATTTCATTTAAGTAGGGTTTAATTTCTACTTCAACATTTTTTGGCCTTTTGGTCATAACATATTTATATACACGAGACAAAATCGTATCTAATTCTGTTTTCTTCCTTATCTCATTCACATTAATAGGAAGTTCTTCGCTTTCTACTAAATAATTTAAATTAACAGTTTCCTGTACGTCTATATTAAACTTAGAAGAATCTTGCCTTATCAACTTATTTGAAGGTAATCTACTTAAAAAGTCTGCTTTATTTTTTGTGTCGATACATGCTTTATAATAAAATTGAAACCACTTGAAAATACTGCATATCACTGCAATCTATTGGCATTAATATCCAAACATGGATACTAACGCCTTGTTATCCGTGATTAAATTGAACTTCTTCCCATATAAAAATTGGTAGAAACATTTGATTCCCCACACTATAGCTGTTGCTTCTTTATCTAGACTCGAATAAGCCTTTTCGGTATCGCTGAGCGTTCTACCAGCAAAATAGATTGGTTTCTCGCTATCATCTTTAAAACCATGCGAGAGAACAGTTCCGATCCCATAATCTGAACTATCAACCGTCAAATTTAATTCTAAGGTTGGATTGTAATGAACTAATACTAAATCTGAAGCTAACATTTGTTTAATAGTGTCAAAAGCTAATTGACATTCTTTGTCAAAAACTAATTGACCTGATACTACTTCATACGGTAGAAGGTTAAATGCAAATAATCCCTGATGAGTACTAATAACTGTATATTTCTGAAAATCTGGATGAATGACAACTTGCTAATAAGCTTGACTCAGGTCAATTTTAGAAAACTCTTGACCGCCCTGTAACTTAGCAAATAAATCATTGATCCGTGGTAACAGATATTTATCCGCTTCGATAAAAGGATTGATAGTTATTTTGAAGTCACCACAAATTCTAACACCTCCATCATTTTTTACATGGGTGTTCCCAAGTCCGAAGCCAGAAATTCTTCAAGCCACACAGGGTTGTGTATAGCCAAAATGGTGTTGATACACCTGTAGAAATATAAAATCTAAAGATGAAAAAATACTAATTGAAAACAAAATCATAACAGACAGTTGGAAAGAATAATTTGGGTAGTTATTGATACCTAAACAAACCAACATATTAATCAATGATTATAATATCATCAATCTTATTTTCAGTTAATATTGATATCTCCACTCTAGACAATACTTTTTCCATATATTACTCTCAGTCTATGTTTTCAATATATATGAAACAATCCATACCCATATATTTCAGTCCCTTCTCTAAACAATATCAAATTATAAAGATTAGATTATTATGTCTTATATACTGACACATCCAAAACTTCAGACAGCTTAGGAGCAGCTGTTATAGATTTTAATCAACACCACAAATTCAAATTATCACCATTCAAGACTGTTCAAATGGCATCCTACAAGTATTAATAATTATAAAGAACAACTATAGTAGGGCAGGAGTTATCACTGACTATTTAAGCTCTGTTCTTGCAATACAGCAGCTTTATCAAAAACATCCAATTGGTTCCCTTGTGAAAACTGAATTAGTTATTGACATTGTAATACTTTGGGTCCCATCACATGTAGGCATTTGAGGAAGCAAAGAAGCAGATTCCTGGGCTAGGGATGCAGCAAACAACAAAAAGCCAACAATAGTGAGTTAAATGGTGCTAGTGACATTAAAAAGGTTATTAAAGTAGCAAAGTGATAGGGAATGGGATAGCTCACAATTGAAATTAAAAGAAATTAAACCATCTATAAAACATGGAGAAAGCAGAACACAAGTAGGGCCAACCAGGTTAGAATTGATGGATAATGTTTGTGTCATACATGAATAACGCATGCATATTTATTTGATGGAAAGAATCAACTAGCATGTGATGTCTAAATAGAAAAATACTTTTAAAACCGTGAAAAATTAATGCAAGAAAAATCCAACAATAATCTTTCCAACAATCTAAAGACATTTAGATTTAACTTTAAAATATTGGAAAGCATGAAAACAGTATGAAATTCCCACAGAATTTCTAAAATTAATTGGTACCAGCAACCTTCAGATATTAGCTAACTTCCTTAATACTATAAATACCACAGCAATCATCCCAAATAAATGGCTTGAAGAAGTATTTATTACTCTCAAAAAAAAAATTGTCAGAAATTGTTTTGAATCTTCTTCATAGCACTACAGTCCTTGATGAGTCTTTGCTTTCCTTAAGAGATACTTCTCTTGCATAAATCATTGCCATTTACACCTGTTGTCCTTAGGACTTTTCTTTCAAAAGTTTCCAGTAGATTCTTATCTTTTTAAGTAAGTGTCCAAGTCTCTGAGCTATATATTAAAACTGGTCATATTAGAATATGTTTTAGTTTGGTCATTTGGCTATGCCAAGGCCATCATAAAAATGAAAAAAGAAAAGGAGTTGTCTTTGAGGAGTTGCTGGTATTGCTGTATCTTTTTTTATGGACGTTTATTGCAATTTCGATAATTTTTGGAGCTTCCTGTAGCTGTAAGAATCCTTCTTAATTTGCAGATTTACTTCTTCCTATAATGTCTATGTCATTTGTTGTGTTGATATTAATTTCAGAAGTTCTTTTTTCAAGACCTAACAGTGCAAGGGAGAGAGAAAAGACAGATAGTCATGCTTTCTAGTGGGTAATATGCGGTACTCTATAAAATGAATTACAGAAATTTGTTTAGGAAAGATATTGGAGGAGGTATTTTTGTATAGGTATATATATATATATATAATATATATATATATATTATATATATATATATATATATCAAAATTTTTTATTTATTTACTAATATGTACTGATTTATATGTATCTGTATATTCAAATAGTATCTACACAATCTAAGTTTATTATCAGATGGCAGCATTGTCAAAAGTAGGTATTTATCTTCAAAGACAAGTTTACTTTTGCGCATCTGGTTTACTTGATATTTAAATTTTTCCATAAAAAATCTCACATTTTTATATCTGATAATGGACGGGTGGTGTTTGTTTAAAAATGTCAATTTGATATCCACAATCTGAAACTTATTTTAATTGATAGATTATGATGCCGATATGCCATGTTTAAAAGTTTTCCAAAATTTTTTCATGGCAACCTATTTATAAAAATTTTGAAACAAATTATAAAAAAAATTTCGCTTTAAAATTATTTTTTTTTAAATAATTTGTGTTAAATTTAAGACAAAAGTTATTCTTGTGATTTTTTGGTAAAAAGTTTACTTTAAGCGTAAAATACAAAAAAACAATTTTAGCGTTTTTCGAATCTATTTTTCAATGGATGCAATGAAAACTTAAGACAAGTAGTTTCAAAATGACTAATTCCATTTTGATTTTATATTTCAGAAATCAGTTAAAAATATATAAACAAATTGATATACCGTTGCGTTTCGGGATATATAGCACCGACGAACGTCTAAACCTTAACGTTCCAAACACATTGATTATTGTTAGGTTGTTAGGTAGTTGACTTCTGAGATTAGTTCTCAACGTTTCGCCAACACTAAGGGTTGGCATCTTCTGGAGATGTTACTGCTTCGCTTGTAAGCTGAAAGTGACGACTACGGAGGCCATATTTATGTTTTCTACTCGCCTCCCCTCCACTGGTTTCGGCATGAAGGGGCGTGTCGTCGTTTGTAGTATCTTTTCGTTCTTCGTGTTTTGCGGGAAGGTTGTTTGTGAATTTTAATATTGGTATTCATGTTTTGTTGATTTTTAGTCCTTCTTCTATTCGATTGAAATTATTTGGGTGCTTATATATTTCCATCGCTTTCCTATACAACCGTGGGTAGTACTGTGGTGTTTTATCCAGCACCTGCGTTTCTTCAAACAGTATCCGATGTTCTCCGCTTCCCAAAACGTGTTCGGCAACGGCAGATTTTTCGATATGTCCTAAACGACAATAGCTTTTATATTCGTTTATCCGTGTGTGTGTCTTTTCGTAGTTCTCACATATACCATTCCACATGTACATGGTATTCGGTATTCTGTCCGTTACCCCCGATGTATAGGGCAAGAACGTTTTGCTTATACATTCTGTTTCTTCGTCTTTTATTCTAGAGACGTTGTTCATCGCTTTATATATTTCTCTTCTG